CCGCCGGGACTAGGCCCCGAGATAGCAGGCCGCTCACTCGAAACGACTACCTCATCGACCAGGAGGCGAAGTGAAAGCCTCGTCGTGGCCTTAATGAATTTGTTGCGCAGGGCGGCGCTGCGGCAGCGGCGACTCAAAACAGGAGCAGGTCGCCGGTCAGCCCGGCCGGCCAGTTTTTGCTCAAGACGGCTGTTGGTAATCGACCAATATGATTTGCTCGTTCGCTGGTTAGTTAGTTAGTTAGCTGCTCGTTAGTTGGATAGTTACAGCCACAAATACACAGCCAGCCGAATACAGAATTCAGAAGCGAGTCCAACCTCTACCTACCACTACCCTCTTTTCGAACCACAACCTACGACTACTCATGGCACAGTCTCCGTCCAACGACTAACCGGGACCCCAGCCAAGACCAAACAGAATGAACTCCGGCCAACTTCGCCGCCGAGATCCGGACCGCTCCGGCTCTGGTCGGTTTGGCGCTGACCTGGGCCGCCACTCTCCGGCCAGTGAACCAAAATAACCAGGAGACGGTGGGGTTGGCGGGGTGGAGCGGGCCGGCCCCCGTCCGCCTGTTCGTTGGCGTTCCACCAGTATGTCCGAGCTTTGCGGGTAACGCAGGGAAGAAGAGTCCTCGATGCTTTTTCGTCTGTTTTCCTGCGTCCGGAGAGCCGCGTATGTCCGCGTGGACAAAGGAATATGCATACGCGAATGTGAATAGGAATGTGCATGTTCATGGCGTATGGTAAACAGGCCGTGTGGGCGGGGAGTCAGTCGGTGGCTGTCTTGCCATTTCCGTTTTCCCCTTCGCGGATTCCACGGGCATAGCCGCATGAAAAGACGATAATTTCTTTTTCAGCAGACTGCGTCACCACAAAAACGCCCACGGATATGGCTGGAACCCAAACGAAGGCTGTAAACAATTCAAGCCGATTGATGATATATGATATTTACTCCAATCGAAAAATACTGCTGCTTAGGGATCTTTCGGAAAGTACGTCCTTCATACCTGCGAAGTTCGCCCTATGCCCATGTGACCACCCATAGCGCCTGGTAGGTAGGCACCATAATACCTGCAGTGCATGTGTGTAGCGGGGTGGCCTACCCCGAGTCTCGCAGGCGCTGAGCACGAGCACCCTGCGAATGATTCTGCGAAAAACGGAAGTGTACTTTACTATCTGACTGATCCCTTTACATTGTATCCGCAGATAAGCCCGAAAAAGTAATTAGTCGTGCGAGAGGCAGAGGCTCCCAGTCTGTCGCGCTGCCATCGTAATCGTGTGCGTCTTGGTCCTCACCCAGATTTTTGACGAGTTCCTTGTCCAGGTCCTCGTCCTCGTCCAGGTCCACCTCCCCGCCCACGTCCGCGTCCTCGTCCATGTTCTCCCTCGTTCTGGTCTTCGTTACGGTCCTCATCCAGGCCCTCCTTCAGGTCCTCGTCCAGGGGTTCGTCCAGGGGTTCGTCCAGGTTCTCGTCCAGATTCTCGTCCAGGTTCTCGTCCAGGTCCTAAGGTCCTCGCCTAGGTTCTCATCCACGTCCTCCTCGTCCAGGTCCTCGTCCAGGAGCCGCCGAGGCACGGCGACCGGAGCCCGACCCCATGGCAAATAATGCATCCGTCTGCGGCGGCGAGCGGCGTCATCAGTTTGGCAGGGGCGTCGGAGCGGGAGGAGGTGGAGGGAGGTAGAAGGAGGGGGAGGGAGGTGGAGGGGTCGCGGAAGAGGTCGCGGGGGAGGGGGCGCGTGGCAGCCGGTGGCGCCCACACGCAGGGCTGCCCGGCCGGCCTTGCCTTGCCTGGCCCCACCCCACCCCCGTCCTTAAAGGCCAAACTCACCCCCACCCACCCACATCGGAAGCGCCCCAAGTGCGCACCAACCCCGACCCCCCCCCCCTCTCAAACAAAACAGGGCACACATTTTCTACCCCCCATTGTTGTTGTCGACTGTCGCGTGACCGGTTGGTTGGGGATTCCGAGTATTAAAGGTCATCGCACTGACGACCAGTAGATGTGCAAGTAAGTGATGCTTTGGCATACCATATGTCGTCAGCCCTCATTAAAGCTCCTTGGTCGTATGGCCGGTGATGGGGCTACCCTACCATCACTGTATGATGCGCCACGGTTCGAGCCGTGAACTTTTGTGCGTGGTTGTTGTTGTTACTGTGCCGCGCATATACCGCATCTCATGCATATGCGTTCGAGATGGTGTCCTACTCGCATGCCCGGGCTCTAGGTAAATGAGTAACAAGCATCGATGTGGTAAAACGTTCACACACGGCGTGTACATGAATTCGGCGTCCTGGTATAATAACGCCGTCCAAATGCTTCGCCATTTTAACACACGGCTCGCGTTTCTGCTGACCCTTTACAGGAAATGCAATCTCACGTAACCCAAGCCGCCGTCTTCTGCAGAGTAGGCGCACCAGGGCAAGGGGTGTTCCCTATCGCTCGTGTTCCGGAACTTTCTTCGCCGGGCGACGACACGTGTCGCTGGTGCAGCTCGACCCATGCTGCTGCATGCTGCAGCGCGCCAGCTCCAAGAAGAGCTCCGAGGGAGGCGCGAGGCCCGCGCGTGGCGGTGTGCAGATAAACCAGACGACAGGCCAGGAGGCCCGGCCGGCCGGCCCACCCATAGCACTCCAAAAACACTCGCTACCCGCGCGTCCGTGAGCCCAACGCCGTTGCACGGCTGCCAGGGGCTGGCCAAGTGGTCGGTCGGGTATCACGCGTCGGGCCACCGCCGACCACTTAGTGTAACCCCGCCTCCCGCTTCCTATCCTAATCCCTCGCTGTCGACTCCACCCATTGTATTGTCCACCTCAAGGCGGCCGCCTCCTCTGAGGTATTTAATACAAGCAGGCGATTAGATTATAAGAGCAGGCTGGCCGGGCAGAGGCGTCGACCCCACCCCACCCCGTGCTCTGAGCCTCGGCCGAGGGGAACATCACTTCAGAAATAAGTGTACTGCGACTTTTAGTAAAATCTGACCAGCTGACTGATAAATGATGGAAATGACTCGACGTAACTGGAGAGGTGGCTGGAATTGATTCAAATAGTGACAGGAACCGCAGGAACCTCTAGCAGTGACTTTCTCCCGAATTTTCCGACTGCCCGGTGACCGAAAAGTGATTTGTCCAGGCCCTGCACATGTGACAAGTCGAAGTAACGTGTGTCCCTCGTGGAGGTGATGTGCACGAGCGCGGCAGTGGGTGCCGGCGGGGGGTGCTCTCTGTGAGCCGCGACGGACACGGACGGTGCGACGGGTCTCTGTTGTACGTGTGGCGATAAGCCACGAGAGGACGGTATATTATATGCAGTAGCCAGCGCTCAGCCAGAGGAGCTGCGGCAAGGCGGGGGAAGCACCTACCCTCACAGACGTCCAGACTGTAGGATGATCTGAATTCGGTCACGGATCTGAACGAAAGCTAGGGGCAGTCCCGATCCAGTCACCGGCGCACCTGTCGTCCACGGACTATTCGCCAACCAATATATTTTGCACCCTCCGTGATGTTTTACAGGTCTCCAACAATCAGCACACTTGTCTCTTCCGCTCCGCACCCAGACCAAGAGACGGAGCAAACACAATCGTTGAGCCGCGACGCCGACGGCGTGTTTGCATAACGAGACCGTCCCACCGCCTCTTGGAAATGGCGCTGTGTGGCGTCCCTCGTGACGCGGCCATGAAACGGCACCGTCACACCGTCACACCGACCGATGATGATATAAAAACTGTACCAAAACTAGTACTCTGGCTCGGGTGGGCCTGAGTCACCCACAGGTGACGAGTGACGACGACGACGACGGTACAGTGGTTTTGGGGAGAGCCTGCGCTCTCTGCCGTCTGATTCAGGAAAGCGTTCAAGAGGGGCTCTCCTGTACTTGCCCCATGAGTGCAACAAGGACGGAGCTATGCGGGAGGTATAGGAGAGTCCCTCTTGAACGCTCTTCTGAATCAGACGACTGGCGAGTAGCAGTAGCGGGAGCGGGCCACCGGGACCGCGGCCAAGGACAAGGACGGGCTGGTGCGAGGCGCGAGCAGGACGGGCTCTGCCGTGCGGGAGGGGGCGGGGGCTACGCTGGCGCCAGAGGGTGTGTGGGGGCGGGTACTTTTAAATAACACACACATGGGCCAGCCCCCCTAGTCTTACTACACCACCTTGGGCCAAGGCCGCCGGCCGGGAGGGAGGGAGGGACGGACGGACGGGACGGCCGGGGGCCGGGACTCTTGAATGGAAAGCTTTGGCGCAGTTTTTGGCGCGACGACGGCGACGGCGAAGACGACTTCTCGCGCGCTTCGAGAGTCTCTCTGCGCGGTCGCATCAGCACAGTGCGCCCCGCCACGGCGGCGGGCCTCGGCCGCCTCGACTAAAAATAGCGGCCGGGTCCGCCTGCTCCTCTCCTCCTCCCAGCAGTCGCATGTACATTGGCGGGGTGGGCGAGTCCATGCGGGTCCTCTTGGAGGCAGATGAGACGGGTGCACGTCGAGACGCCCGCCCGGCCCCGCCCCGCCCCGCCCCAACTGCCGCTGAATGATTTTGACCCTTGGGCGTGGTGGCGGGTGGCGCCGCGGGTGGCGCCCCGATCCCATGGCCGCAGCCGCATCATAGCCCGGCCCGGCCCAGCCCGGATCGCGAGGCGCAGAATAATTGTCGTCCATCACAAGGATGCGGTGCAGCGAAGGGATGGGGGGGAGGAGGGGCCGCCAGGACGGCGCCGTCGCGCACGGCCGGTCAAGCGCCGCCGCCGCCGCCGCCAGCCACCACCCGGACGACATGCGGCGGAGGGTGCGCGACGCGCAGTGGGTGGGCGGTAACATTGGGGTCGTTTGTTTGGCGACGGGGAAGAGGAAAGTTTGGGTTTGCTGCAGGTTTACGAGGTGTACACAAAGTTTCTCGAAGCTTCTGCAGTGTTGGGGCCTGAAAATTCATCCGATTCGATCGCACCTCCTGTAATTCCTTTTCTTTGGTTTCGGGGTCGCGGCATTGTGCTGGTCGTGGCTCCACCGCGGGCCGCAAAAGAGTCGCGCCTCTATTCTGGCACTGACGGCAGACTCCCCGTGTGGGGTGATGGGCGTAGCGCTGTGTATTCGCCGCCGTCAGCGACTTTCTGTTTGAAAATGCACTTTTTCAAACGGCGAGTTTAACTTTGCATCACTCGGACTGGCGTGCCACTTTGCCGAAGCTGCGCGCACACCGTACGAAAAGTGCGCGCCTCTCAAAGTAGGGCATGTGTGAGTGTGGGGTGTGTTGCAAGGAGCCTTCAGCTAAATATATCGCTGTTGACAAATAACCTTTTCATTTTATTTACACTAGAATGACTTCCGCGACTCGCTCATCCGCATCATGGTTCGTACAATGGTCAGTTGCCTCACCAACGTTTGGCAAGATTTAATTTGAGCAGCAGAGAGCCGTACTCGGGTGACCTGGGTGACCGAAGACCGACTTCTACAAGTGTGACAGAATTTGTCAGTTACATTGCTTTGAACATTTTCCTAACATATTTTTGCATTGCAGCACAATTACACTAGGTGAAAACAGTAAAAAATGAATGATGCATTTAAGAATGAATGGAAGTGACAATGGAAATTAGCCTACTAAATGTACAAAACTTAGTCTACTTATGTGGGACACTCCTGTCGCACACCAGGGCATTTACAAATACGACGAGAAAAGCTGAATATCACATTCACTACAGGCGTCGATGATATATGAGAGGGGCTTACGATCTTAATTTAACGTCGCAAAGTATCGAACGGCATTTTTATGATTTCTTATAATTAGCCAAACACAACTATGTAGCCTTTAGCTGAGGAAAAAGTAAGGCCTCGCTGGCAAAAAAGAACAAAAACCATAGCCTAATAGTGTAAAAATATTTAAAAAAACAAATTAAAAAATTGCGGCTAATGAATTGTGCAGGCATTCCGATGCAGACCCTGTTAACGGCACTTGGCCACAAACACTTTGGATTTGGTGTGGCCTTGGACTTGAGATAGGGTAATCCACCGGCACATACACAACATTGACTATCCTATCTCCTATGGCATAGGCCCGCAGGCGCAATTTTCCCGCAGAGCCACTCAGCTTTTATCTTATACGCCTAAAATCACAGCATGTCCATCCTCCTGATAAAAGCCAGAGCCAACGGGGAGTGAGCAGAGCTCATCACGTCATGGGATTTAGAGACTAACGCTCCCTTTCCCTTTTTGTACTTGGCTCGCTATGTTGTAAAGTCTTGTACTCCTGGGCATTGGACAGCATCCCTCGCGTTAACCGGAAGAGCTGCCGAGTAAACTAAACAGCTTCCGGAAGATGAGGCCCTTGACCTGGAACGGAAATAAGGCGTGATCAAGCGGATCAACGAGGGGTCATGAAGTCGGATCTTCTTGACAGTACAACGGGTGGCAACCCCACAACACCCACCCTGAGCAGCAGGCCGACGCCGTCCGTGAGGATCCTCAGCTTCTCGTTGAGTTGGTTGCCCTGGCCACCGCCGCCGCCGCCCCCGCTACCGCCGCCGCTGCTGTTGGAGATGCCGAGGATTGAGCTCAGGTCAGAGCCGCCACCGCCGCCCCCGGCGCCGGAGTCAGCGTCCCCCTAAGCAGGCAGCGTGAGTCACGAGGTCGCGCCCGGGGTGTAGGCCACCCAACGCGCGCGGGCGCTGCGGGGGCTGCCCGCCTCCTGCCGGCCGCCCCCGGCCCCCAGCACCAACCAGCAGCAGTCACTCTAGGCCGGACTAGGGTCCCGGACGACTTACCCCTCCGCCGCCGCCTCCGCTGCCGCCACTGCTGGAGCCCAGGAGAGGCGTCACGAGCCCCAGGATGGAGCCGGAGTCGCTACCGCCGCCGCCGCCCGCTGAGGCCTCACCATCGCCGCCGCCGCCGCCGCCCTGTGTGGAAGCAGCCGCCGGGGTTAGCAGAGGTCGAGTGGCGACAAGCGCTTAATCCGACCAAATAAAATGGTCGGAAAAAACTGAGTTTCGTATGCAAAATTTTCCACAAAAACTAATAGTTTACAAACGCCATGCTTGAATCAAAAATGCTAATAATAATGACAAACTACGCCCACGTGTCGCCCTATTTACAGTCTTATCAAAGTATACGTCGGCTATGTACAGTACTATAATACAAGATCATATGTACAGGAAAGGGTCTGGGAATATATATACAAGGAATTATATACAGTTTGAAAAATCAGAAATATTTACAAACAGAATGAGATACAGTACATTGTGCCACCAAGGCAATTTCATCTGTTAGTGGAAAAATATTCCCGGAAAACAAAAACCGTGTAGCATTGCATGCTTCGAACAGATTTGTTATTTTGCGGCAGCATGTTAGTGAATTGGTCTTAAAACTATCGAGCAGTTAGTGTAGGGGTTAGGCTTCTGCCATTCCGTCCTGCGGAGGACCCCGGGCAAGAAGCGTCACTGACAGAGAGGCTGCGAGCCATCTCCATACTTACCGGTCGGCGTAACGCTTACTTTTAGGCCTAAATTGAAACATTATAGCCTTCTAAAACAAAAGACCTTGCTGAAAAAATAAAGATTATTCTCTGCCATTCGCATGGCATGTAGCGTACACAGACACGCAATGCAAAGGTAAAATTATAAGTATCATGGCAGATAATAAACATCTCGTTGAGTACGCCCCGTCTCCGCTTACTGAGGGTCCACCTGGTCCGGAGAGCCCCGTGGACACCCCGCTCAAGAGCCCGACGAGAGGCGTGAGGGCCGTCAGCACCGCGCCGACGTTGCTTCCCCCGCCGCCGCCCTCTCCGCCCTCCTCTTCGTCGTCATCGCCCTGAAACAGCAAACAGGACAAAATGTAAAACACTATTTCGTTTTTTTAGGTCTGGGCTAACATTGACGCATGTTGTCGAGACAAAAACTGGCCCGCACCGCAGAAAAAAACACACAAAAGTTGGGGGTCAACAAAAAAACAATCACGGCCCATTCCCTCACTCGCCTTGACCGTACAAGAACAAGAAAGTCATGGCAACTAACTGAGCCCAACCAACTAGTGTGCGCACGGGGCCGCACGGCCCCCGTTGGGCTTATTTAGCCATATAGAACCGTTAGATTTACTTCCTCTGATGTTGCCCCCCGTATTTCGCCCTGCGGCCCACGGCCCTCACGGCTCACTCACCCCGGATATGCCCTCCAGCAGCGGCTCGGCCAGCTGGAGCAGCGTGCCGATCTCCAGGGGCTCCTCGCCCGGCTCTGCGCGCTGCACAAAAAAGGGAAGATATGAATTAAGAACAGAGATCGCTTGATTAAGAGTCTAATAAAAATGGAAATGCGGTAGAAACAACGGCCAGCGGTTTGGTGGAAGCCCAACACCGACACTTACCCCGGACAGGCTGGCGAGGATCTGCGGCAGGAGCTGCAGCGCGCCCGATAGATCTGGTGGCTCGCGGTTACCCTGAGCAGAAACAATAATGTCCATTTTATTGATTTTGACGCGGTGTTCTTGTACGACACGGTCGACCCGGTACGCGCGTCCGGTACTCACGATGCCGCTCAGCGAGCCGATGATGGGCAGCACGGTGCCGAGCACCGCCTGCAGGTCGCTGCCGCCGCCGCCTCCCTCCTCGCCGTCTTCGGAGCCCTTGGCCGTCCCCCCGGCCTCGCCGCCCCCGCTGCTCGAGCCCACCAGCGTGCCGATCAAACTCACGATGGAGCCAGAGCCGTCACCACCGCCCATCTGAGAAGAGAAATATTCTTGTATAATTATTAATTAAAACAGTTAGAACCCCGCAGCCCGAGGTCACTGATGAACTCACATTCGGCCCGCTGCTCGAGCCAAGGAGCGGGGCGAGGAGGCCGAGGATGGAGCTGGACCCGCTGCCGCCGCCGCCGCCGCCGCCGCCACCACCACCTCCCTAAGTTCAACAAATTTGTGTGCAAAGGAGGATTTCGTATCTTTGCAAAATTAGTTGAAACAAACGACAGTCCCGCATACCGAGTTGCTGAGGGAGCCGCTTAAGGGCCCGACGCTGGACGCGAGGAGCGGCAGCAGCGCGGGGAGGAGCGAGGTGAGCAGGGGCCCGACCAGGCCCAGGATGGCGCCCGAGTTGCTGCCCCCGGCCTGGATGAAAGAAGAGGGCTCTTATAATCCTCCAGTCTTGAGTTAGCGAGTACCAGAAGCTATAGTCCATGTGGACTGCGCGAGTACCATAGGAAAGTCCCCGTGGACTGCGCAAGTGCCAGAGGGGAATCTCCGTGGACTGCGCGAGGGACTCACCCCGCCACCCATGGCCATCTGGGGCGCTGTGAACGCGATGGGCTGCAGGGGCTGCAAGGCGCCCGGGTCAGCCCCGGTCTGTCTCCGCCGCCTGCGTCGCTGCCGCTCTTGCTGCTGCTGCTGCTGCTGCTGCTGCTGCTGCTGCTGCTGCTGCTGCTGCTGCTGCTGCTGCTGCTGCTGCTGCTGCTGCTGCTGCTGCTGCAGAAAGAGCCAGTCCTGCTCGCGGCGCGCTCTCGCCGCGCCCTGAAAAAGAAATTCACTCACGCCAAGTTTACTTTCGAGGTTGGTGACGCGCGCCCTTACAGAGCGAAGCAGCCCTGGATCGAGTTATTCAGTAGCGTTAGTAGTGCATGCTGCATGCGGGGAGGAAAGGAGAAGAGGAGAAGAGGAGAAGGACCGCGTCGTCCTCCTGGTGGCGTCGTGGCCGAGCCACTCTCCAGAGCGGGTACTCACTGAGCCGCCGCTGCTCGACCCGAGCAGGGGAGTCACCAGGCTGAGGATGGAGCCCGAGTCACTGCCGGCACCTGCGCTCGCACTGCTCTCGCCGTCGCCAGAGCCGCCGTCGCCGCCGCCGCCGCCCTGGGGGGTGTCGAGAGGTGTCAGTAGGGTGTCGACGACAAGGTGTCAGCGCCAGAGAGTACCACTCTCGTCGTCAAAGGTTGCTGCTCACCCCGCCGCCGCCGCTGCTGGACCCGAGGAGGGGCGTGACCAGGCTGAGGATGGAGCCAGAGTCGCTGCCGCCGCCGCCGCCTGCCGACGAGTCATCGCCAGAGTCGCCGCCCTGAAAATGGCGCGCGGACGTTGTGGTTACGACAGGTGGTTGGTCAAGCAGCCGAGATGAAGCGAAATGTCATCGACAGAGTACTCACTCCACCGCCGCCGCCACCACCGCTGCTGCTGGAGCCCAGGAGAGGCGTCACCAGGCTGAGGATGGAGCCAGAGTCGCTGCCGCCGCCCGCGCCGGCGTCGTCCTGAGGGGCGCAAAGCGGAGCGTCAACTTCAACTTCAAAAAGAGTTATCATGACTGCGTGTTCATAGCGAACTGGAGCCGTCAGTCCGTTTAGTCCGCCGCCTGCCGAGTAGGCAGCCCAACGCGCAGCGTGCGCGCCCGGCCGGCATGCAAAACATCCCCCCTTCTTTCTCTCCTCATCGCCGCGCATATGCTCCATTGTTTTTACGAGGCTCATTAAAGAATTATCGAGTGGTTGCACTAGCGGACAGAGAGGACACTTCTCGGTTGACAGTTTAAAAGAGAGTTGACTAGCTTGTGACTTACAAGTCTGAATTGGGGCACAACGGCGCTTGTATAGAAAAACTCCGGTCACGGTACAAATATTCCCCGAGATCTTGCCCACCCTGCACTGCATCTGCCCCTGGGGACGAGGAGGCGGGAGGTCGCCCAAAGAGGACGAAGGTGACGCGGGGTTGGCAGCAGCGTTTGGTCGCGGCCCGCGCCTCATGCAGGCGCCTTCGCCGCTCCTTCATATCGCATTCGGGCCGCGCGCGCACCGGCGTGCGTCACCGTGATTCCCCACCCCTTCTCTCAATCCCCTTCTTAATCTACACACCTGCAGCACACGACCATCTACGCGCGAAACGTCCCGACCATTTAAAAGGGGGCAACAGGCGCGTTGCGATTACGAGTCATGAGCCGTGGAGGAATGACGATACTGTGTGACATACTGTGTGGCATCAAACTTTAAAACGGAAGGGACAAGGCAGGCACCACAATAAAAAAAAAATGGGTTGTCTTAAACGGTAATACAGACACGGCACGACATCGACGCCCAGAGTAGTCATCCGGTGTCCGCCGCTGAGGGGCATCACGTGCGGAACAGCCCCCTCCCCCCTCC